TCTTTATTCTTTTTACTATTTTCATATATTAGTATGCATTCTGAGAGTCTATTAGAAACTCTGGTCTATCAAAGATTTGTAAGTTGTATATTTTGAAACTATGAGAATATCAGTAGATTTTTGATAATACAATCAACATACAGGTATAGGATTATGAAAATAGCTTTAGGTTTCTTGAAGATAATTGATGATAATTAATATAACCAAGATGGATATGAGTGAAATGTTTTAGCATTCAGCTTTTTAAGAGCATAAATAAAAATATACAAAACATAAACATGGTATCTAATTTACACATATAAATATATATGGTATTGAGAATGCCAGAACAAAGTTAATGTCTTAAAGTAAAAGGAATAAAGTATACTCTTGCTAATTCTTCTTTGAATTAAAACATTTTTTAAAGATAAGTAGAGGAGCCAAATTCAAGTGGCTATGGCCTGTGATCTTGGCTACTCAGGAGGCTGAGATCTGAGGATTGTGGTTCAAAGCCAGATCAGGCAGGAAAGTTCTTCAGATTCTCATCTCTAGTTAACCACCCAAAAAAAAAAAAAAACCCAAAAAAACAAAAGTGGAGCTGTGGCTTCAAGGACAGTACATAGTACCAAAATTTTTCTTCATTTAAAAAATGAGAAAAATACAATCTTTAGTCTATCATAGCTCTACATTCTCTTAAGAGACTGATCTTCAAATGGCCTTCCTGGTAGTGGCAATCTACTGTGCTAATGCCAAAGAAATAAAAGGAAAATATTTTATACAAATGAGGAAAAAAGGTTATTAATAAAAAAAAATACTATAGAAGAAAAGTCAGGTCTTTTTAACCTAAAGTCATAGAGAATAAATTGGGTATGTTAGAATGTGTCAAATGTCATTTTCACTAAAGTGGATTCTGATATTACACCTCTTACTTATGCTGCTATTTATGTTAGAAGCTTTTGTGTGGTTGCTGTAAATTCCTCAAAGGTGTCAGGTCAAGTTCCTCCTGAAAGTGCAGAAAGCCTCCTAAGCAGCAGATCAAAAGCATCAACACATGTCTATAACATCTTACAAGTCATGTCAAAGTCAGCATTTCCCCAACCATATTTCATTGCCCAAAACACAGACATTCACATAGGCTCAGCTCCCACACACAGCTTCAAGAGACCTCATTAAGAGAAAGCAAATTGCTTCCTCCTCTTTTACTAAAGGTTTTTCTTTATGAGGAATTGTTAAAACTTCATGTAAAAGACTTGGACAGATAAACTTCAAGAAAAAAATCTATGGTTGATAGGTTAGGTGTGCTTGGAAGGGGTAGAAATGGTTGTATCATTTGATTATCACAGAAAAGAATAGCAAGTGTCTATGAATGATTTTTTTCTCCTCTCATTTGGAAGTTATTAGTAGACTTCCCTTTGTTCCATTGAGAAACAAGAGAAGAAAATATGAAGTTACAGCAAACCCATATGGCCAGCAGGAAAGTCCTATTTAATTGCTTTATTGCCAGAAATGTTAAATCACTTCCTGAGGATGCAGTTCAAGTGAAACATATGGCAGCTATTAGCCAAAGCCCCTAACAAATTCAAAAATATGCGTTCTGTGGGAGTTTTCTCATACGCAATGAGACTTACTATTTAAACTATACCTGTAAACATGCAGTTAGTATGCTAATTCCAAATATTAGATAGACACCTTCTTAATATTGATGTGGACAAATGACTTGCATGGGAAGTGTCTTTCTAATGGAGAGCTACTTCATTTCCATTTGAATTGTTCCTATTATCTACTACTTACTCCTTTCTCCAAAGGCCACTTAAGAAATGATCAAGCAAATCCAGGCCACAGAACTGTCCTTTGTCCTCTCATGTAACTGTGTGAACTAGATTGTGAATCTCACAAAAATACTTACCTAAGGGTTTTGTAATTAGGATAATGTGAGGGCCTGTAATTAAGAATCAACAAATCTTTCTAATTAACTGAAAATTAAACATCAGCAGTTTCTACTTGCTTTAGTACCATTCCTTCCTGGAAAATTTGACAAATGTGATCAATTTATTCATAAATCATTTTCTAGAGAAATAATTTACTTTCAAATAAAATCATCCAGGAGCTAGCTAGCTGTTTGTACTACGTCGTCTTTATTTTTTATTTTACTTTTTGGAAAGTATGAGGAACAACAGACTGAAAGGGGGTCATCTCTAGGGTAGGAATGATCTATGTTGTCTTACTATAAAAAAAGACATTTAAAAAAATCCTAAGCACAATAAACTTTGACTATCTTTTCACCACAGAATATTATTCCATTACTGAATGGAAGTGAGATTCCATAGTACAAAGACTTGTACAGAACGCAGTGCCATCATAAAGCAATTGTGAAATATTGGCATTGGGTATATGAAAGCTAAAATATTTTATTTTTGCTTCATAACCCAACTCACTGATCACATTTTTACCAAATAATATAAATGCTAGGGTATTTTTATAATCATATATAAAATTATTTTTATAATCATATATTATATGTAAAAGGCCTGTCTTCATTAATAGTCAACTTGTAATTTGGAACATGATGTTAAAGGAAGTCAGAGATGACTTACACAATTTCTAACTGTCTGAAACAAATATTTATGCATAAATATTTTGTTATCCGAGTCAATGTCTTGTCATGGAATCCCTTCAAACCAGTTTCCTCCTTCATTCCAGGGCGCTCGGATCAGTGTAAACTCAGAAGTCAACACACCAGTGGGTGTATCTTGGCTTCCATTACTGGCTGTGTGACTATGTAAAAATGACAGTAATTTCCAGGAGTTTCCAGGATTGTTGTGAGGACTGAGTGAATTTAGGCAGACAAAAGTTTAAAACTGTGTGTTATATTTACAAAGCACTGAGTTTAAATTGTGTGAAGAACTTCCTGCATGAACAATCTTTAATTTCCTATCATCTACCTTAACTTTGTCCATCATTGAAAGTGATTTTTCTTTTCTCTCTTTTTTTCTTTGTGCCAGTCCCAGGGCTTGAACTCAGGACCTAAGTGCCGCCCGTAGGCTTTTTTGTTCAATGCTAGCACTCTATCACTTGAGCCACAGCTCAACTTCTGGGTTTTTTTGTGGTTAATTTGAGTTAAGAGTCTCACAGACTTTCCTGCCCAGGCTAGCTTTGAACTGCTGCCCTCAGATCTCAGCCTGCTGAAGTAGTTAGGATTACAGACATGAGTCATCTGTGCCTGGCCTGAAAGTAATTCTTAACGATTTTGTGATCTGTTTACTTTTTCCCCAAACAGAAACCAGTTTAAAACTTTTGATCAAAGATAAATTTGAGAGATAGACTTAATATTTAGCAATATTTAGACAGACTTAATTATTTAGCAATAAATATATTTAATTCCACTTTAAAATACTCTTTAAAAGAGATACATAGTAACAAATATCACCAAAACTATACAATAGTTTTTTATAAGAGGAGCAATAGCGTTCCCATTATATTGAATCAGAGAAGTTCTAGATGGTTTAGAAGGTCTAGATGCTGGAAGTCTGTGCCAACTATTCAATGCTTGCTCTTTAAACCTGATCTTCCACATTGACATTTAATAAAGTGACACGGATACAACTTCCATATAGGATGTAGAGTTGATGTTCACACCCAAAGAGCAAGTGCTGAACAACTAGATATGGACTGAGATTATGTAACAATCTTTTAGTTTAGATTAGTCATTCTAGAACAAATCCCTCCTGTACATTTTATCCATTGGGTCATCTTTATTTACCTTATTTTTAAAATTACATCAATCTCCTAACTCCTTAAATTCTAAGGGTGATCATCTTAGCAGTAATCATCTTGTAAAAGTATAAGCACCTGAATATTCCAAGTTTTGGGAAATGAAAATAGACGCTATTTTCTTAAGTATTTAATCCACAGTATTAATGTGCTTAGAGTGAGCTCTCTCCCCTCTTTCTCTCTCTCTCTCTCTCTCTCTCTCTCTCTCTCACACACACACACACACATGCATATACACACACAACATCACGCACTTCTCTCTCAAACATATGCACACTCATGCACATATATACTCATATACCCATATATACACATTCACAGTCACCCACTTAGGCACGCTTCTTTTCTTTTCTTGCCCTGACTCTGTAGATTTTGTTCTTAAAACTGGGGGAAGGCATCACTATCAGACCTATGTATGTACATATAGATAGGTAGATAGATAGATAGAAAGAAAGATAGAGATACATATAAATCTATATATACATATAGATAAGGATATATCTATATGTCTGTACCTATGGGTAGAATTTTGTATAAATCCTAAGATTATACAAATGTCCACTACAAGTTAATGTCTCTATGGATAGCTTCACTTCATATAGAAATAAAAATTCCATAATTTGTTTCAGGGTATCTTTAAAGAATAGCACTAGACACACTTTGAAGTTTTTTTGAAACATCTCATTCTGATGCCTTTTTTGAAATTAGTGATGGTAATAACAGTGGCAAAGTGGAACTTTTAACCCTTTATATAAGTAAATTAACCCATTTAGTCAATGCCCCTAGATGTAAATGGTAAGGACAGTTAGCTTTACCATGAAGACGCCACATGCTTTATAGGAGACTCCATTTATTTCTGTCAGCAGCCATGTGATTATCCTTTCTTTATAGGGGAAAAGTCTGATCCTTGAGATGTAAATGCACACTGAAAATAAGCAGCAGGACAGAGATGCACAGAAACAGAACAGATAACTTATTTTTTCAGCCTTCCAAAATTAGGAGAAATATGCCACTTGACACAGTGTTAACTTCACTGCCAATGTCTTTTAGACAATATGGATGTAGTTTAGGTAAGTCTGTCGTCTATGCTTACAAAATGCTGCCTAACTATTGCAGCCACATGAAATGCCTTCATGCCACGATGCTAATCTTTTCATCATCAGGATCTATTTGCTTTTCACCACCACAATGTTTCTTTTAATGTTTCTTCTAATAAGACCATAATTTTCTTCTTTCCTTTTTTTTTTCAGGCTGTTCCAAGTTTTTCAAATAAGGAAAAGGCTGGTGAGTTGATACTTTGGTGGTGTTTTCTCTTATCTATTTTAGTATGAATTTCAATTTTTAGACACTTCTTTAATATACACAAATGTGTTAATCTCTTCTATGTCTGTGAAGATGTTATTCTTGAATTCCTCAAAATAAATCTGCCATGCTTAAAAGTTATGCAAACAATATCCAGTTTTGTTGCACAACATTGTATTGTATAGAATCAGGCTCAGCTCACTGCAGCCACAATTCGTTTCTTAAAGAAGAGAAATCAATGTTGGTCAATATGGTAAGGAATGGTCTTTGGAAATTGGTTGTGAGTAGTTATCAAGATTTTTTTAATTCCTAAATAATTAGGTGATCGCTTCAATAGATGTACTTGATGTTAAAAGTTGATACAACACTGTGAAAAATAATTATGAAGCAACATGAATAACTGTATTGAGGAAAAAATTGTAGTATATTTCCCCTGCTCTATTCTATGATTTAACTATTGAAGAGAATTATGAGAAAATGGGGAAAGACTGATGAGAAAAGTAGAGCCTGAAAGATGAGACTTGGATTGGTGGAATTGTGTGCTTTTTAAGAATCTTTTGATCTCTGTCAATATTTTTTATGTGCTCAGTATAATGGAAATAAAACAAAGCAAAATAAGCAAAGCCAATAGGTCCCATGGTTTCCTTTATTTGCAATTACTAGTATATGTCTGAGACACGCAGAAATGGTCAGATAAGTTGATGTTAGGTGAAATGAACCCCAAGATAAGGATTCAAATGTGTTTTATTTCATGTGATTGTTTCTAACACATTTATAATATTATTGCTTTGTTGCTTTGTATGTCCCTCCCCCACGATATAACCCCTGCTTTCACTGTATTTGATGTCGGTATAATTTGTGGAGGGGAAGGTAAAAAACAAATTGTTTAAATAGGGATACAGGTGGACCCATTGCAACAATGAGATGTACCAGTCGTTATGCCGAAAACTTTACAACTTGGGGGGGGGGGGAAGTGGGGCGTGGAGGGGGGGAATGGCGGGAAGATACTTTGCGGGGGGAGAAGCGGGGCGTGGAGGAGGGGGAATGGCGGGAAGATAGGAAGGGATGGGAAGGGGCAACAAAGGAGGAGGCTACAATGCTTGCTAAGAAATGTACTCATTACCTTGCCCATGTAATTGTAACCCCTCTGTACGGTATTTTCACAATTAAAAAAATTAAAACCATATTGAATATGTACTACCAAAGGTGAAGCCCTCTACTTGGTTCACAGATATTTGTGATGCTGAAGAGCAGTAGTGAAGGGGAAAGGGTCATCCACAAGAAGAGATCATTATTTCAAGCACCTTTACTCTAAAACATTTGTTTGTCTGATAGTATTTTTATGCTAAGGATATTCATTATTTATTTATTCACTTATACAGGTAAATAGATTTCATACAAAACATTTTACTTGCATGAAATACTAAATTTGCCTCTTATGGTTAGTCTATCTGACTTATTCATTCTAAGAATAGTGAAAAGCCTGCAGAATAAGAGAAAAATATTGAGCTGGCCTTATGGGTGAACGCAGAGGGAAATTTGTTGTGTTTAGCAATGCTCTAGCATTATATGGATGAACTACAAAGAAGAAGTAAATTTAAATTCCAGTTGCAAAGTACCAAAATCTTCACATAAATTAGTTTGGATGTCCAGTTAAAAAGGGAAGAAATCAATGGTTTAGTAGGCATGTGCATCTCAAAGAGAAATTTAGGTCCTGCTTTATCTTAGGTTGTGACATTTTCTGTAGTCACCCAGATTAGCTGAAACTTAAACAAAGTATGTAACAGGCCAAAGTTTTCATTTTATCCCAGAAGGTCAGCAAATTCTTTCAGACCCTCAGGAGAGCATTTGGATGTAAACTGCTGGCTGGTGGGGAGGAAGAAGGAATGTCCTTATTTAGGGAGTGAGAGGCAAAAAGCTGTCTTCCTTCCACTTAGTAGCTTCAGAGGAATAGGAAGAAACACTTCATTTGGGGGTTTCATAATGCTTTCAAAATATCATGACAACAAAAGTCTGATTAAGCAAAGAGTGTAAGTAGAAATACTTCTCATAACCCTGGAAACTTTCCACAACAACAAAAGAAAACATGAACATAACTTCACTTGTTAGTTAACAACATATTTTGGCCCTTATGATGTTCATAAGGCACAAATTAGAATGTTGGCAGATTGAGTGATAGTACACACCTATAATCCCAGCAGGTAAGTCTGGGGCAGGAAGACAGCATGTTTGTAGGCAGCCTGGGCTTAAGAGCAAGGGTCTCTCAAACAAACAAACAAACAAAGTGGATAGATCCAATTCATTTAGGATTTGGGGAAATTGTGTAAAGAGGGAGACCAATTAACTGTAATATATGACCTGCCCATGCCCCAGGGCCAGCAATGACCAACCGAGATACTTAATTACCCAAGTTGGACTGATTGAAAAATAACCTAGCTCTCTTGCATATCAAAATATTAGGATCTTTAGAAGGTACTCCAGATAGAATTTTGATTTAAGTTCCTAGACAAGCTCTGCACTTGAGAGTACATAAAAATTGAATTATAAATAAAAGAGAAAATTTATTGTTAAAGTGAGTGTATTTGCCTATCAACTCAACTGCTATGCTTGAATATTTAGCAAAAATAATGGTACTGTTTGACAGTTCTAAAGAGAAGATGATTTATTTCAAAAGTTGCAAGCACCATAGCAGGGAAAGCAAACTATTTTTTAATATTTCTAGGCCTTACATTGCTGGATTTAAAGCATTAAAAAACATAGTATTTTAGGTAGGAGTGTAAATCTTCTTGTTGCCAGCTCTATGAGTTGTATGTTTCGGTTTCTTTGGAGCAGAAGGACAGCCATGAAGGCAGAAAGCCCACTCACTTCTCAGGGAGTAATTGAGCTCATAAATAGGATTAAGCTTCATACTCACCCCGAGGCCTGTCATTTTTTTTTCTTTCTGCCTAAATGAATGTAACCTATTGTTCCTTAATAAGAAAGTCTATTTTTAATCTGGTTGACCTCTCATCCAAGCCAACTGGAACCAACTCTATTAGGTTTTTTGAAGCTCTAAATAAAAAAGAAAATCACTTGGGGACATTCCGGTCATCATTCTTGCGCTGCAGTTGCCTGATTGGCCTCCAAGGAACTTCAGTAGACTCCTTCTATTCTCATCCATGTTGTTGTGTTAGATCACAGCCTAGTGGGAACAACTCTTCTGTACATCTCCTACCTCGAGAGGACCAAACACTCCAGGAGGAAACACAGGCTGAAACAGCCCGCCCCCCCCCCCATCCCCATGGAGTCATTCTCCAAATACATACTAAACAGCAATATGTTCTACACAGATCTCCAGGTTCTTTGAAGAAAGTATGGTGATAAAGCCTGGTCTCTGTCCTAAACTGAACTCAAACTCCAGAAAAATCCCCCTAAAGGCAGCAAGTGAGAATCTTTTCTCTCTTCTCAGTTGAAATTTTTTTTTGGGGGGGTGCGGGGTGTCCGGTCGTGGGGCCTGAACTCTGGGCCTGGGTGCTATCCCTCAGCTCTTCAGCTCAAGGCTAGCCCTCTACCACTTGAGCCACAGTGACACTTCCGGCTTTTTTCTTTTTGCTTATGTGGTGCTGAGGAATCGAACCCAGGGCCTCATGCATGCAAGGCAAGCGCTCTACCACTGAGCCACCTTCCCAGCCCTTCAGTTGAAATTTTTTTAGCCTACCTTATTCAAAAGCTTCCTAGAAAAAAATAATCCTAATAAGTTTTGTTTTTGGGAAAGCTTCATAATGTGCATTTTTAGGTTCTGAAAAGAAGTCTAATCAATTTATGTTTTTAATAATTGGAATTAATCATACAAGTACCAAATATATAATTAGATAATGTGTATAATGTTTTCGTAAAATATCTAGTAGTCATTGGAGTCTGTATGCTTTCAATGAGACATAGAGGGAGAGGGAGAAAGAAAGAGAGACAGAGACAGAGACATAGACAGAGAGACAGAGACAGACAGAGAAATTGGTCATTGGTTTATGCTTATTCTATAGGATATCTGATTCCTGTAGGGAAAAGAAGGGGAGGGCCAGGGAGGGGAAGGAGAAGGAAGGAAGGAAAGAAAGGAAGGAAGGAGAAAGGAAGAAGGAAGGAAGAAAGGAAGGAAGGAAGGAAGGAAGGAAGGAAGGAAGGAAGGAAGGAAGGAAGGAAGGAAGGAAGGAAGGAAGGAAGAATTGATTTATGGTTTATTCTCCAAAACATCAGCTTCCTATAGCCTTGAGTAAGTTATGTAACTTCTTCCTTCCTCTTCTTTAGAGTATAAACAATCTGCCACCATTTTTTGAAAGGTAATGAATAGACCCTACTACAAAATGGTCGCTGTGTCTTGTGATAGTTCTTTGCACCTGGAGCCACTATGTGTGCAGGTCACATAGATACTAGCTGTGTCACTCCTGTCCGTGTGTGTTCAGCGATTCTAAATGCTTCCTCAGGGCACCAACTAACAGGCAAACATCAGTCTGTGTGGAAGAGAGATCAAGTTCTTCCTGATTCTTCTGTAGTAGATAACTGAGGCAAAGGTTAGCTATCACAGTATAGTATAGTTGATCTCACTTTAACACTCATTAGTCTTTTTTTCCTGGAGATTAAAATTCTCTCTGGTGAACAGGGAATATTCGATCTTCACAAAGGATTAATCCTTGAGAAATACAGACTACGTATCTCATTTTCCCATGGCCCTATTAGCACCCTTACCCCAGGACCTGGGGTAACTGGATGCTGCCTACCCAACAGCCCAGGGCCTCACTGAGCTGTGCAGAAACCTCATCTCCCTCACCTTGTGCACAGGGCCCTGTCAACATTGTCTCCTCTCACCCACCCCCTCCATCCCTCCAGCCATTGCTTTTGCTCAGTCTACTTTCCACTGGACTTTCACAACTCTGCCCGGAACAGGTTTCTCTACTTTATGCTATCATTAAACCCATCTACTCTACCAGAATTAATCCTATCAGAGTTATCTTGGAAAAGCATAACCGGATCATCTCAACTGCTTCCCCATTTTCTC